AAACCCCCCCCCCCCCCCCCAATAAAAAAATTAGTGAGCAAATACTTTGTGAACAGACTAGAGTAAGAAATGTCAGATGGAAGTACAGTTCATCAGGGGAACTGTTCAGCTTCAAACTTCAGATACAGAAGTGATGAGAAAATACTTACAATAGTGTTAGTGATGATATAGCCATGATGGTCCAGGAATTATGTGAGGCAAGGATTTCTTAAGACGATATCTTTTATTGGACCAACTGCATGGTTGGGATAGAATTAGACAAGCAAGACATAGACAGAATGTAAGACATCCATCTATCCCAACCATGCAGTTGGTCCAGTATAAGATGTCTCCCTAAGAAATCTTTGCCTCATGAAAATAAATATTTATAAATGCTCCCTGATAAATATCTTGTGGTCTAAGATTATGGTTAAGAACCCACAGGTACTTCAGGTGACATTAATCCAGCCTATGCTATTTCAGTCATAGGCAGAAGGGAAAGCCAAAAGATAACAATTGCATGGAGTAGGATTTTTATAGTGAATATTACTGTCATGGGTTGCAGGTTCAAAAGTAGAATTTGATTTCATGACTAAAAGGAAGCTGCTTCTGATGTTGCCAAGTACAACATTCCAGGGTGTTTGTGCTGAAAGAAAAATCTTGTCCTTTCTAGATTGTGTGATAACTAGCTTTTCATTCAAACTGATATTGGTGCTTCCTGACTATGGCTTACAGGACTGGAGAGTGACATGCCTTGGACCTTTAGGTGCAGGAATGTTGGCACCTTCTTTTCAATTCAGTGGGAACTGTAGATGCTTTGCATTTCCTCAAATTAGGCTACTAATTTGTGATGCCAGCACTAGGGACTCCTTCCAGGAGAAGCAGTAATTTGATTTCTGCACTACTCCTAGCTATTTGCTTCATCAGTTCTCTCACTAAACAAGTTCCTTGACTGTGTATAAATATAAACTTACTAAAAAAGTGTCAATTTTATGCATAGTCTCAGCCATTGATATTACTATGTGTGTGTTCTGTTTTAAATATCCAGGTCCTTCAGGAGTTGGAATAAATGAGCTAAGGCGACGACTTATTCAGACTAACCCTCGTCGGTTTCAAAGTGCCGTACCACGTATGTGACGCATTCCTTTCATTCTCTAAATCAGTGGCTTCCAATTGTTTGACTCAAGGCACCCCTCCATAACTTTTCTGAATTTGGCAGCAACCTGGTTGCAAACCACTGTTTTAATGTCTCATCTTGCCTACTTTATCTTCTGGCTGCTGAGTCATTAGGTGGAACTGACCCATGCACTTCTTTCCAGGGGACACCTGCAGAGTTGGATTGGGAAGCACACTTCTTATGCAGCTGTTTCCTGGTCTGGCTCTTCAGATGCCCCCTGGAAAAAAGGTGAGTGGGGTACTTTCACCTGGCTGTGGCAGCACTGGTGCTTCATCACCCTTGAAAGGGTCTCATGGCATTCAGGGATGTCATTGCACCCCAATTGCGAACCATTGCCTTTAATTTCATATCCTGAGGGAAGAAAATATGAAATATCAGTGCTCTTCCTCTTATAGGGCATTCCATGAATGGATGGTCAAGTGGAGTGACCCAGGGGTTGGTCGTGGGGCTGGTTTTGTTCAATGTCTTCATCAGTAACCTGGAAGATGACATAGAGTGCACCCTCAGCAAGTCTGCAAATGAAACTAAGCTAGAGGAGTAGCAGATACGCTGGAGGGTTGGACTGGGATTCAGAGTGACCTAGATAAATTGGATGATTGGGCCAAAGGAATCTCATGAGGTTCAACAAGGACTAGTGCAAAGTCCTACACTTAGGATGGAACAATCCCATGAATGGGCTGGGGGTTGACTGGCTGGGCAGCAGCTCTGCAAAGAAGGACCGGTGGCAGGGGGGGAGTTACAGTGGACAATAAGGTGAATATGAGCCAGCAGTGTGGTCTTGTTGCAAAGAAGGCTAATGCCATACTGGGCTGAATTGATAGGTGTGTTGTCAGTAGGTCAAAGGAAGTGATTATTCCCCTCAATTCAGCACTGGTTAGTAGGGCTGAGTGAAGCTTCGGTTCCTGATTCTATTTGGCAGAGATTTGGCTTGATTCAGTGGCCAAATGTCCGAATCCCAGTCAACTCACAGGACCCTTGTATCTCTCCGAATCAAATCAGAAGCCTCCGAATCGATTCGGAAAGATTCAGAGATTCGGACGTAGACACAGCTTTAAATGTTTTTTCTACATACCTCAAGGTAGCAGGTGGCTTGTTAATGCTGTGATGCTGGGGCAGATGGAGTGTCCCACAGAAGCACGGGGAGCTCCCCAGCACATTTGGCAGCAGGCTCGGAAGTGGGCCGGAAGCACTTCCAGTCCACTTCCAAGTCTGCCAAGGAGTGTGCTGGGGAGCCCCCCGCACTTCCCTGGCTTGGTGACTGGTGCTTCCTGGGTCTTGGGGGGCATGTGGGGTCCCCCTGTGGCCAATTGCTGAGCTGAAGGGGTGCACAGGGGGGCCCCATGTGCTCCTCAGTAGACCTGAAAGTGGACCGGAAGTACTTCCAGTCCACTTCTGGGTTTGCCATTAAGTGTTGTGGGGGAGACCTCCAAGTCCTGTGCAATGCTCCATCCGCCCCAGCATCACAGCGTTCACGAGCCACGCCTGGTACCTTGAGGTATGTAGAAAAAACATTTAAAGCTGTATCTGTGTCCAAATCACTAATTCTCTGAATTGGCATTGAATCTTCAGATTCAAATTTGGCTGAATCAAATTGAGGACAGTGATTCAGATCAACGAATCAAATCACTGTCCTTGGTTTGGCTGGAATCCGAATCGAATATGGCCTGTTTCACACACCCCTACTGCTGAGGCCACATCTGGATACTCTGTTCAGTTTTGGGCCCCCGTTACAGAAAGAATGTGGACAAATTGGGGAGAATCCAGTACCGAGTGGTCTCAAGTTACAGCAAGGGAAATTTAAGTTAGATATTAGGAAGAATTTTCCCACTAGGAGGGTAGTTATACACTGGAACAGTGAACCTGGACAAATTGGAAAGGTAGGCAGAGCAGAATCAGATGCAGTTCAATAAGGATAAATGTAGAGTGCTTCACCTGGAGAGAAGTAACCTGCAACATAAATATATGCTAGGCGGAGATGTCCTGGCCAGCATGATGGCTGAAAGGGGCCTCGGGGTTATGGCTGATTACAGGATGAACATGAGCTGCCAGTGCAACACTGTAGTCAACAGAGCTACTAGCATACTGGGATGCATTAGCTGATGCACCATGAGCAAGACTAAGGAAGTGATACTTCATCTCTATTTGGTGCTGGTGAGATGCCAGCCGAAGTACTATTTCCAGTTCTGGGCACTGCACTTCAAAAAAGATGTGGAGAAACTTGAAAGGGTTTAGAGAAGGGCCGCAAGAATGATTAAGAGCCAGGAGGACAAAACTTATGAGGAAAGACTAAGAGATCTGGAACTCTTCAGCCTGGGGAAGAGAAGACTGACGGGGACCTTGGTGCCCATCTATAAGTATGTAAAGAATGAATATCAGGAGATGGGACAAAAACTATTCACTAGGGCACCCCAGGGGAGAACAAGGAGCAATAGCTATAAACTTTTAGAAGATGATTTCAGGTTAGATGTAAGGAAGAACTTTTTGGTAAGGTTGACCAGAATCTGGAACAGACTTCCAAGGACTGCACCACCTCCTTGGGACGTCTTCAAGAAGCAACTGGACAGACAGCTTGCCGGGATCATTTGATCTCAGCAGTTTTCCTGCCCAGAGCCAGAGAGGTTGGACTTGGTCTTTTAAGGTCCCTTCCAGACCTTAATTTCTATGATTCTATGATACTGCCTTTGACTGGCTTGTCCAACTAGCAGGAAGAGAACTAGGGTGAACTTGGGGTCAAGGTTCTGGACCTTAGGACACTTGGGTTTGATTCTTGACATGGTAATTGATTATCTGCATTATTTCGGGCAAAACACATACTTTTATTAGATCTCATTTTCCAGCCCAGGGATAGAAAGTGCTTCCCACAGATGTAAGGAAAAGCTCACGCTATTGTTTGAATTGCTTAGAACAGTGATTTCAAACTAAGTTCTGTGAAACCCTAGGGTTCTGTGGTAGGTCATCAGGAGTTCCACAAAGAGACTGGGGATAATGTCAGAGTGGACTGGGAGGCAGTGCACCTCCATTGCTGGGCCAGGTTGCCTGGCTCCATGTCAGTCATCTACATAGAGGTTCTACAGCCGGAGTGATATGAAAGGATTCTGTGACTTCAGGAGGTTTGAAAACCACTGGCTTAGATTCTGAAAACAGTGACAACATAAATCCTTAGGAAGCTCCCAGGCCTCAAATTTCTCTTTTTAGCATTGTAATCTAAAGCAAATTTGTATAATTTTATTTTCTGACTGCCTGAGAAATTCAGTCCTTGAGCATTCATAGCATGGGTCATGCTCTATTTCACTCAGGTGTGGTACCTTTGCTTTCCAGCCAGTAATAGGCCTCTGTGTTGCCTTAAACCCTTGGATCAGGGAATGAGTAGGTTGAAAGAGAGAATGCTTAAGATACAGGAGTTTCCACTCCACTAATGTAGGTTTATTCAGCAGATAGCACATGCTCTTATACTAAGAAATGCACTATAGTTACCTTGCAAGTGAGTTTTGCTCCCTGTCTCGGTGATCAGATGTTTTTAAGGTCTTGCTAGAGTATTCAGGGGCATCATAGTCCAGTAGTCCAATGACCCTTTGTTTCCAACTAGCTTTTATACCTTTTGTTTCTTGCATATTCGTTACTTTTACTACTACTGGCTATTTACAGACTATTTATATAATCAATGTGCTATTACATTAAAATGGTTATTACAGGATGTTATGAGCCATGAGGATTTCAGGCTATCTTGTCAATTCTCACACCTTGCTTTTTGCAATATATGACTTGGTTTCTCTTGAACAAAGCCTGGGGAGCTCTTGAGAATTCTGTTTTTGTCTATATAAAAGACGACATTTCAAGAGATGCTTAACAGTTGATGCCACAGGTAGTTTCACTTGGTGATTCCTATACTAAGACAGAAGACAAGCACTCTGGCTGAGAATCACCGCACTAGGGACTACCTG